TCCTCGGAGGCTGAGGCGGAAGGATCACCGGAGCCCAGCAGGTCGAGGCTGCGGTGGCTGGGAGCGGCCACTGCACTCTAGTCTGGGTGACAGAGTGAGACTCCAACTCAAAAAAAAAAAAAAAGAAAAAGAAAAAGAAAAAGAAAAAAGCTTGCATACACATGGTTATGTAATTTATGATAAAAACAACATTATGCAATGTTTTACTTATGCAGTAAAATGTGGTATTTTTTAAATATGGTCTTTATATGTTTTTAACCATTGTTCCTGGCTCATAGCTGCCATAGCCCCTATTACAGTAAACAGAATGTCTCTGACCCTTTCTTGCCCTCTTTATTATTATTTTTTTGAGTTGGAGTCTCACTGTCACCCACTCATGACCGTTGTAGCCTTGACCTGCTGGGCTCAGGTGATCTTTCCACCTCAGCCTTCCATGTAGCTGGAACTACAGGCGTGCACCACTCTACCTGGCTAATTTTTTGATTTATTGTAGAGACGAGGTCTCGCCAAGTTCCCCAGGCCGGTCTCAAGCACCTGGACTCAGGCAATCCTCTTGCCTCAGCCTCCCAAAGTGCTGGGATTATTGGCAAGAGCCACTGCGCCTGGCCTCTTGCCCTCTTCTCATCTGCCCAAGGCAGGACTCTAATTCAACTGTGGATCATAACACTTTCTTTGCAGAGATGGTCCTGCCCCATACATTGAAGGAAGGAATATAATAGAGAGGCCAAGAAGAATCTGGACAGACCTTGCTAGATTTAGATCATACTCTTTTTGTCCAATCACATCTTGACACAATTGCCAATCATGCCTATCCAATGATGCCTCCATAAAAGGCCCAAGAAGACAGGCTTTGAGGAGCTTCTGGATACCTAAACACATGGAGGTTCTTGAAGGGTGATGTGCTCCAGAAAGGCATGGAAGTGCTGTATTCTTTCTCACATGCCTTACCCTGCGCGTCTATTCATCTTTATCTTTTGTAAAATCCTTTGTAATATACCTGTAAACATCAATGTTTCCCTTGCTCTGTGAGCCACACTAGTCAATTAATCAAACTCAAAGAAGATATCGAAAGAATTCCAGTTTGAAACCTGTAGGTTAGAAGTTGCAGAAGCCCGAACATGTGACTGTTATCTGAAAGCAGAAGCAGCTTTCGGGACTGAACCCTCAACTTGTGGGATCTGACACTAACTCTAGGTAGTGAATTGGAGGATAACCAGTTGGTGTCTGCAGTGGTGGAAAACTCCTGCCATTTTTGAGCACAGAAGCCTTTTGTCTGGGTTAAATTTTGTGGTGGAAAACTGCAGTCTGAGTATTTCATTTTTATAATAGTATACAAGTTTAATGGTTTACAATGAGCCCTTAAATTCAAGATGCATATTTTAGAAGTGCATTTCTATGATCATTTTCCATTGGAATTTCTCATTATTCAGTCTAATATTAGCCCCTTTTGTCAGTTATTTCATGTCTCATACTTTATGAGCCTATAAGGATTTTTTTTAAAGTTATCTTGGCTTACTAAAAAACTCTCCCTAGTTCCAGAATAAGAAGTGGTCGCTACTACTGTACAGAAATCTATTATATCACCTGTGGTATAATTACTACTGTGAGATTTTTTTCTATATCATGTTTTTGCAAGATGGCAGTTTTTATTAAAGTTTTGTGACTATGTAGGGATTATTTTTATTCTATCTAGCAATACGCCAACACAACAGGCAACACATGGACCAAATGGTGATGATCAAAGGCCTAAACCTGGATCTAGATAAAGTAATTTGAGGAGACTTGGGGTCTCCATATGTAGAGGAGATGAGGTTGGGTTTTTTTTTGTTGTTGTTGTTGTTTTTTAATAAATGCAGTTTTGAGCACTTTTTTCTAATGTTTTATTGTGGTAAAAAACATATAACATATAATTTGTCATCTTAACCATTTTAAGGGGGCTGGGGTGGCGGGCGGCCTTGCCAGGGTCCTCGCAGGTCCTCGGCGGGCCCGGGGGAGGGCCCTCTTTTGTGGCTGCAGTTGGCAAAAAGGCACCGATGAGGGTGGAGAAGAAGCTGCTGCTGGGCCCCAACGGGTCTGCAGTGGAGGCCGCCAGTGACCTGACCAGTGAGGAGGAGGAGGGCCAGAGCCTATGGTCCTCAATCCTGAGCGAAGTGTGTCCACCCGCGCCAGGTCCAAGCTGCCGTCTGGCAAGGACATCCTGGTCTTCGGTGAAGATGGTTCTGGTAAAACAACCCTCATGACTAAACTACAAGGAGCTGAGCATAGCAAAAAAGGAAGAGGCCTAGAGTATCTCTACCTCAGCATCCATGACGAAGACCGAGATGATCACACGTTGCAATGTGTGGATTCTGGATGGAGACCTTTACCACAAAGGCCTGCTGACGTTTGCAGTTTCTGCTGATTCCTTTCCAAAAACCTGGTCATGTTCGTTGCAGACACGTCTAGGCCTTGGACTGTGATGGAATCTCTACAGAAATGGGCTAGTGTTTTACGTGAGCATATTGATAAAATGAAAACTCCACCAGAGGAAATGAGAGAGTTGGAACTGAAGTTTATGAAAGATTTTCAAGATTATATTGAACCTGAAGAAGGTTGTCAAGGTTCCCCATAGAGAAGAGGTCCTCTGACCTCAGGCTCCGATGAAGAAAATGTTGCTCTGCCTCTGGGTGACAGAGTGCTGACTCATAACCTGGGGATCCCAGTGTTGGTGGTGTGTACAAAGTGTGATGCCGTGCGTGTCCTGGAGAAGGAGCACGATTACAGGGATGAGCACTTGAACTTCATCCAGTCACATCTGCAGAGGTTCTGCCTCCAGGATAGAGCTGCCTTGATTTATACATCAGTGAAAGAAGAGAAAAACCTCGACTTGTTATGTAGGTATGTTGTTCATAAAACATATGGTTTCCACTTTAACACACCTGCCTTAGTTGTGGGAAAGGATGCAGTTTTTATACCTGCAGGCTGGGACAATGAAAAGAAAATAGCTATTTTACATGAAAATTTCACAACTGTAAAGCCAGAAGATGCATATGAAGATTTTATTGTGAAACCTCCAGTGAGTAAGCTGGTCCACGACAAAGAGTTGGCAGCAGAGGATGAGCAGGTGTTCCAAATGAAGCAACAGTCACTCCTTGCCAAGCAGCCAGCCACTCCTACGAGAGCCTCTGAATCCCCTGCAAGAGGATCCTCTGGCTCTCCAAGGACCCAGGGTCGAGGCGGGCCAACCCGTGTGCCTAGTGCCTCCCCAGGCACGTCAGTAAAGAAGCCGGACCCAAACATCAAAAATAATGCAGCAAGTGAAGGGGTGTGGGCCAACTTCTTCAACAGTCTGTTGAGTGAAAAAACAGGCTCTCCTGGAAGTCCTGGTGCTGGTGGCGTGCTGAGTACAGCCAAGAAGTCAGGACAAAAGACTGTGTTGTCAAATGTTCAGGAAGAACTGGATAGAATGACTCGAAAACCAGACTCCATGGTAACGGACTCTTCAACAGAAAATGAAGCCTGATCCTTCTTAAAAAGTACATATGGCAAATGACCAAATAACTATGTATATTCATCTGCTAAGACCAGGATTTTTGGTACGTGCCATCAGTTTTTTGGGGCAGGGGAGATGAACTTAAAAAAAAATTCATTGGAATGTCCAAGTGTGAAATGCATTTAGGAAGGTTACTTGTCAGACCCCTTTGTTAAGGATAACCTTTGGACTCTCAGGCAGGTGACTCTAATGGGAAGCAAGCACAGCTGGGCTTCTTGTGGAGGGGAAGGTAGAGTGAGAGAAAGAGGGCCTACAATTCTATCAGAGTGGAGCAAATGAGACCAGGAAATCATTGACCAGATGGTGGTTAGTCTGACCAGTTTCGTGTTAGCAAATTCACTTGTTCTTGGGAAGCAGATTAAGTAGCAGAAAGTCCAGGAGAGGAAGACTGAAAGGAGGAATGAGAGAAGTGATGGTGGGGAGACTGAATGTTGAGGGAGGTGGAGGAAGGAGATGAGTAGTGTTAGTAAATACTGTGTGTTCAGAAGAAGTCAAAGAATAATTGTTTAAGGCTTAAAATTAGAAACATTTCCAAACTAAACACTAAGCAAAATGGAAATTAGGCTTGTTCTAAATGCATCTTTAATATATGAAAGATATGTTAATTGTGGGGGTGCCCGAGTCAGGTGGGGCTGACCCAGAGGTGGGAACAATGGCCGCTGCCCAGGACCCAGGCTATGTCCCTGAGGGAGGTACTGGTCTCTATGTCTGTGTATTGTGGGGCAGACAGTCACTGTGGGGTGTCTTCAAAGTCAGCAGTTACAGAATCCGTTTACTTTGAATTGTGTTTTCTAAGTAGCTCCTGCTTTGTTTTGTAAATTAATTTTTTTTTTTTTTAACTACCACAGGCTGGCCTACTAATAGAAAATGGGTGATCAACCTCTCATTTTACCATAGTGCAATGTGCCACAGAAAGTCTGGGGGAGGTTTTAAATGTAATTGCAGTCTGGTTAATTGGCTTGTACCATCCCTGCCTTACAGTCTGTGGAAACCTTCAGGGAGGTCCGCTGCTGCAAAAAGGTCTTGTCCTAGCTCTCTGGTCTGATCAGTGCTATCAGATGGACAAATAAGTGTGAATGTTTTATATTGAAAATGGATATGATACATTTCTCTTGTTATGTGTTTTCATAAAATGTAGTGTTTTTCATATAGAAATAAGAATTTCAGGTGTCTCCCCACTTAGGGCAAATTCATACACATTGCCATGTCACATCACCATTCTGAAAATGACTTCAGTGGATTTGAAATGGCACTTCTAATTTTATGTATGACACAGCATTTAAATACAAACACTATCATGAATTTAATGTTTAAAATTTTGTTGTCAAACCAAGGGGAAAAAACCACAGTTCACTATGTGGAGTTTACTTTTTTTTATATGAATGTTTGCTGTCCTGTGTCTAAGCATAACTTCCCTAATGTCATTCATTACTTTTACGTATCAGATTTGACTGACCACTAATGTAGTGCTGGGCATAACTTAATATCCTATATTGTAGACAAGACTCTTAAGACTGTCTTGAATTGCTTTTGTAAAGGTCTGAACACTGTTAAGGAGAAAGCTGAGTAATTACTTGCCTTTCTGACAAACACGTTTCTTGTGCCAGTTTTATTGTTGAAGTATACTATTTTTTTTCTTTTTTTAATTCAGTTTTTTAAAACAAATATATTGTGGCTTCCAATTACCAGGTTGTCTAGGTAATGACAGTAAACTGACTGTGGAATGATAGTTGTGGTGTAGTGACCAATAGATGCCAAACAACTTGTGACCACACTTAAAGGTGGGGTTACTTAATTCCTGGGAGCAAAATGAGTAACCTCAGAAACAAGGAATTCTTGGAAAGGCACTTGCCTAAGGGATACAGTGTGATTTTAAATTTTAAAGCAAAATTTTAATTTTAATTTTTTATCATCTGAACTGATAAGCACTTTTGTGTCAATATAAAATATACTAAAACTGATGAAATGCTAAGACACATGTCTTGTGAAGGAAGGTTTCTTGGAAACCACTTTTATTTTCTCATGACAGGTGGATGCTCCTAGTATCAGAAGAAACTAATACATAGGGTCATGTGCTCAGTGGTTGCCAAAGTCTACCAACTTTGGGGAGCTGCAGGGATCTTTTTGGAGAGTGGGAGGGAGTTGATTTTTGTTGTTTTGCGGTTTTCAAGCATTGGAACCAAAGGCCAAATAATAAACAACCTTTACTTTTGAAGGTAAAATTTGTTTTATTTGCAGAGTATACTTGTATGGTGGACTGTTAAAGACAATTTTATGACTATTTATACACATTATAGTAGTTTCATCTACTGTTTGTCTTAAAAAAAAAAAAAATTCAGAGAAGCCCAACCTTGAAGATGTGGCCAAGATAAAGGCCATGAATTGGTCTTTCCTAAAAATGTAACGGGTATACTGCTAGATTACTTTTATTTTGTTTGTACTTTTTTTGATTGACATTTTAAAATCAGTATTTAAACTGAGGACATTGTCTTGTTTTATTAATTTAAAAAGTTGAAAGTGACTGCTCTGCCCATCATGACTTTAACAATGTTGATGCTGTAAGTGAAAGTTTACTGTTGTCTATACACTAAATCTATTGATGTTTTTAACTTAAAATTAGAACTGCAGATGATCCCCCCACCAGCCTTAGTCCAGGTGTGTGGTTCTATCCGAGTGCAGTATGCAGTCATGTGGAACCTTGCTTTCTAGTGCTGGAAAAAAGATGTCTCTAATTACTGGCTTCAATAAACACGAATCCAGACTGCTTACAAAAATAAATAAATAAATAAAGCTTTTGGTGCAATGATATTTCATCCATAATGTTGTGCAACCATCACCAACATCCAACTCTGTAATTCTTTTTATCTTGTAAAAATGAAATTCTGTACTCACCAAAAGATAACTCTTCATTTCCCCTTTCCCCTGACCCTTGCAACTACTACTTCTTTTTGTCTCTATGACTTTTGACCATTCTAAGTGCCTCATGTAAGTGGAATTATACAGTATTTGTCTTTTTTGTAATCAATGACTTATTTCACTTAGCAAGTTTCATCCATGTTGGAGCATGCATCAGAATTTCCTTCCTTTTTAAGACTTAGTCTATTGCGAGTATAAATCACATTTTGCTCCTTCATTCATCTGTTGATGAATGCTTGGATTGTTTCCATGTTTTAGCTATTGTGAATGACACTGCTATAAACACAGCTGCAAAAATATCTCTTTGAGATCCTCCTTTCAATACTTTTTGATATATACCCAGAAGTGAAATGATTGGATCATGTGATAGTTCTGTTTTTAATTTTTTGAAGATTCACCATATTGCCTTTCATAGTGTCTGTACCAGTAACATTTCCATCAGCAGTCTACAAGTTTCAAATTTCTCCATACCCACACCAATGCTTGTTACTTTCTTCCTTTTATTTTGTTTATGGTAGCCCTGCAAGCCAGGCATGTTGGTTTATACCTGTAATCTCAGCACTCTGGGAGGCTGAAGCAGAAGGATTGCTTAGGGTCAAGAGATGGAGATCAGTCTGGGCAACATAGACCTTGTTTCTTAAAAAAATATTAAAGTAGCCATACTAATGGATGTGAGGTATATATCTCATTGTAGATTTGATATGTACCTCCCTAAAGATTAGTGATGTTGAGCATTCTTTCATATGCTTGTTGGTCATTTGTATATCTTATTTAGAAAAATGTCTAGGTCTTTTGCTTACTTTTGATTTGGGTTATTTTTATTGTTGAGTTTTAGGAGTTATCTCTATATTCTGCATATTAATACCTTATCAAATATATGAATTGCAAATATTATCTCCCATGCTGGTGGGTTGCATTTTTACCCTGTTGATAGTGTCTTTTGATACATAATAGTTTTAATTGTCAAAAAATCTAATTTATTTTTGTTGCTGACTCTGCTGTTAGTTTCATATCCAATAAATCATTGTCAAGTTTATTATGAGAAGTTTTTGCCCTATGTTTTTCATAAGAGTTTTATAGTTTTAGGTTTTATGTTTGGGCCTTTGATCCATTTTGAGTTATTTTTTATATGTGGTGATAGGTAAGGATACAACTTCATTATTTTGCACGTGAATATTGAGTTTCCCCAGCATCTTTTTGTTGAAAAGACTGTCTATTCTCTATTGAATGGTCTTGTCACTCTTGTCAAAACTGTTTAGCCATATATTTGAGGGTTTATTTTTGGGCTCTCTACTGGATTACATTGGTCTAGGCATCTGTTTTTATGCCAGCACTACACACTATTTTGTTTTCTGCAACTTTGTAGTAAGTTTTGAAATCAAAAAGTTTGAGTCCTCCAACTTTGATCTTTTTCAAGTTCATTTTGACTATTGAAAGTCCCTTAAAATGTTATATAAATTTTAGGATAATATTCTCTGTTGTTGCAAAAAGAAATCTGGGATTTTGATATGGCATGGAATATGTAGAACACTTTGGGTAATACTGACATCTTAACAATTTTAAGTCTTCAAATGCATGAGTAGAGATATGTTTCCATTAGTTATGTCTTCTTAACTTCTTTCAGCAAAGTTTGGTCATTTTTATTGTACAAGTCTGTCACCTCTTTGGTTAGGTTAATTAGTAATTCTTTGATTCTCTTGATGTTATTGCAAATGGTATTGTTTTTATAATTTGGTTTTCAGTTTCTTCATTGTTATTGTATAAATATGCAGCTGATTTTTAAAATTTGTAATAGAAACAGGGTCTCACTATGTTGTCCAGGCTGATCTCAAACATCTGGGCTCAAGTGATCTGCCCACCTCAGCCTTCCCTAGTGCTGGGATTACAGGCGTGAACCACTGTGCCTGGCTGCAACTGATTTTTGAGTGTTGACTTTGTATTCTGCAACTTTGTTATATCTATGTATTATTCCTAACAGGTGTGAGAGAGAGAGAGAGAGAATATGTGTGTGTGTGTGTGCGTGTGTGTGTGTGTGTGTGTGGTGTGTGTGTGGTGTGTGTGTGTGTGTGTGTGTGTGTGTGTGTATGTGTGTATTATCTTTAGTGTTTTTTACATATATAATCTACAGACAGAGATAATTTACTTTTTCCTTTCTAATTTAGTCTTGCCTAATTGCTCTGGCTAGACTCCCAGTACTATGTTGATTAGAAGTGGTGAGAGTGGGCATCCTTACCTTGTTCTTAGAGAAAAAAAGCTTTCAATTTGTCACCATTAAGTAGATGTTTGCTGTGAGCTATTCACATATGACATTTATTGTGTTGAGATAGTTTTGTTCTGTTCCTGGTTTTCTGAGGGTTTGTTTTTTTTTTTAATTCATGAAAAGGTGTTGAAATTCAGCAACTGCTTTTTCTCCATCAGTTGAAATGATCATGTGGCGTTTTTTTCCCCCTGCATTTTGTTAAGATGGTGTATTTCATTGATTAATTTTGTGTTTGTGGAGCCAGCTTGTATTCCAGAAATAAATCTCACATGATTATGGTGTGTAATCATTTTAGTATGCTGTTGAGTTCAGTTGGCTAGTATTTTGTTGATAATTTTTGCCTCAATATTTATAAGGAATTTGGTCTGTAGTTTTCCTTTCTTGTAGTATCTTTGGCTCCAGTATCAGAGTAATGCTGGCCTCATAGAATGAGTTAGAAATTGTTCCTTCCTTTTCAATTTTTTGGAAAAGTTTGAGAAGGATTGGTATTAGTTGTGTAAATGTTTGATAGAATTCACCATTGAAGGTATCAGATCCACGGTTTTTCTTTTTTGGGACAGTTTTGACAACTGATTCATTGTAACGACATTCAGATTCTCTCATTCTTTGTGATTTAGTCTTGGTAGGTTTTACATTTTTAGCAACTGTCCATTTCATTGAGATTATCCAATTTGTTGGCATATAATTATTCATAAAACT